TATACAAATAATAAAATAGTTTTTTATTAAAAAACTTACGCCAACTGCTGCAAGCGCCTATGGGCGGCATTGGTGGTGGCATTGAGAATTGCGAACTACCAGATTGTATGCTACCAGCTTCCAGCGAAGCGCCTTCCTGCATAGTACTGTTAGCATTGGCTAACGTAGAATGACGACGTTCAGCTGCCCTAGATGATGTTAAATTCGTGTCAAAGCTTTCTTCCTTACCCAGGGAACCGGCCGATGTTCGTTGACCTTGACTTTGAAGACTGTGCTCATTAACTTTCGCCGATGCCGCTCCAGCAGCCAATGTATGTGCAGTTACAGCTGCTTTTGCTGCCGCGCGATGTTGTTGTGCCGGAGTAGATTGTTGTTGGGGCGCCGAAAAATATTGCCGCCCAGTCGAAGTTGTATTCGAAGTGGGGAAGTCCGAATCATTCAGTTCTTCATCGCCATCTGCTTCATCGTCGGCTTCGGAGACAGTATCGCGACGGAGTGCTGCTTTAATGCCAGTTGGTGCAATAGTAGCACTATTTTCGTCTTGTTGTAAACGTTGGCACAACAATTCGAATTCCTTTTTCTTTGCCTCATATTCTCTCTTGAGTTGATCGCTTTCGGCAGTCGCTGAAGGCGGTGGGGTGGGAGTGTCGATTTCACGTTGCTTACGACTACGTGGTATGGGTGTAGGTGTTAAACTGCTGCGCTTTAAAGCATCTTCACCAAGTTTTGCTGCGTCCGCAGCTTGTTGTTTGCGCAAAACGATCTCTTCTTTCAAAGCCTTAATGCGATCGCGTTCGACCTGCAAACTTTCTGCCTGTGCACGTAAATCTGCGGTTACTTCATTAATCATACGCATTTTACGTGTAAGGTATACATCTTCACCAACGCCATCCGCGCTGTCTGCAGTATGTGCGGGCACAACCGAAACCGGTGTACAGTCGCGGTCAAACGACGAGCCGGTCGAGCGTGATTGCGAACGTAGCTCACGTGGTGGTGTACGACTGATATCACTAACATCACGCGATGTACGCGCCTCTATTATATTCACAGTCTCCATCATGTCCTTTAGACGTTGTAATTGCTTACGCATTGTTTCTATGTCGGCAACTTTCTGTTGTATAAGCATAGCGGTGGCAGCATTTCGTTCAGGATCGCCATCCTCGTCATCATCATCATTAGCATTAATAGCTGCATTTCCGCTTGGTTCAGCTACACCCCCACTAGTGAGTTTTATGGGCACAGTCCGCGTATAAGTGACCGGCACAATGCGTGCGCCGTTAGTTGCATTTAGTGTTTCTTCGTTCTCTTGCGTTTTTTTATTTACCACTGGTTTCTCATTAACAGACGCTTCATCTTCGCTTTCCTTTGTACCCACAGCACATCTACGTTCGGCATTACGATTAATATCTTGCAATTCACTCACCAATGAACGCATATCATCACGTTGCGCACGCAAGGATTCTAGTTTACGTTGCAACGCCTCCTGTTCGGCTAGGATTTCTGGACCATCATCACCCAGTAGATTGCTTAACTCATTCTGATTTTGTATAAATGTCGTGAGATTCTTCATGCGGCCAACCAATGTGGCCATATCTGAATGCACTTGATCGATTGACTCATATTCAGGTGTGCCATCAGCATTTGAGGACCTGTTTAGTTGGTTAGAACCAAAACTTAAAGTACCAGCCTGTTGTCGCAGATGTTCCATCTCGCTCAAATGCTGTTTAGCGGCATTTTGCAAACGCAAGAGCTGTTGTTGCTGCTCTTGCATATTTTGTATATTACGATTGGAAGTCTCCAAACGTTGCTGCAACTCATCGAAGCTGGGTGAATCATCTGGTGTAGGCGTTTCAACGCTGTGCAATGATTGTATAGATTGTGCGCGATTATCGCTCAACTGAAATACAAAAATGGTTTTAGTTTAATACGTAAATTACAATAATATTACATACCTCACTAAGTGCGACATCCTCCAGACTTGCTGAGTTCACTACCACTTCACGCTCCATACTTTCGGATTTATTTTCATATACCATTAATGGCTTAGGCGAATCTTGTGGAACAGTTAAATTAGCTGCGCTTACTCTTGGTGTAATATATTCGTTCTGTTTTGGCAAACGCTGATTGAGGGACGTAATTGTTGGCGCCGTTACGTTCAAAAAATGTTTAATTAATTGTAGACGTTGTAGCAAAATTGACTCAACATTTACGCCTTCACCAAAAGGAGTTTGTTGCGGATTCGTCGCAGACGCCGCTCTTGCTACAGCCGTTGACAAAGCCGAAATAGTTGGTGTTTGCGTTGTAGTTATACTGGTGCCTAAATTCAGTAATCTAACCGGCAACAACGGGGTTTTATTCACTTTAGTTAGTTTTACAAGTGAATTTTGTCTAGCTTTTGAAATTGCATGTGGTTCCTTTAATATTTTTTGTATTTGTGCAGAGTTAGTTCCATGCGAGTTACTAGCTTCTCTTAACACACGTTCTGCTAACTTTGGTTCTAATGATGAACAAGGCAATACCGGAGGCTGTGTATTTTGCTCTGATTTTAAGTACGGAATGCCAATATTATTATTTTAAAAAATTTATATATCACAAAATATTAAAAAAAAACTAATTTCGTTTAAATTTATCTATTTACTGGTCTAGTATCGGGAATAAGATATGTTTACATAAAGTATTATTTTTAGCATGTAGGCAATTCTCTGGAGCAATGATTCATCATAAACATTTCGAGAAGACAATAAAATATTTCGTAACGCGTGGTCATTTGTCACGATCTATATGTAAAATAAACAATTTTGTTTATTTGACATTCAAAGAGGAAATTATATTTCCTATTTTGAAGATATGTGTTTAATTTGGATAAGTACAACAGGCAGATCACTTTTTATGTATTTCCTTTGGGTTGCGCAGAGAAGGGAAAAATGTATCCGAAGCAAAAAGATATTGCGGAAAACTAAAATTAGATATTATTTTTAGAAATGCGCTAGTCGCTACTCGTGTTCGAATACGTATACGATGTACATACAGGTAAAAATACACTAAATTTACAAAGGAAATCGTAAAATAAATAAAATAAATTTTTATACAAATATTCCATTCAAAATCAGAATTGTTTTGCATCAATTACTTACCGTTTTTTCTTATGTCGCAATGGCTACCAGTTATATTTCCGTTTATTCGTGCCGATGATTTTTCTGGACTATGTTGTCTTTTTCTCTGCACATCCGCTGTTCCAGAACTTGGATTATTATTATTATTAATATTGCTTTTATTAAAATTTCGATTGATCGCTTTCGGAAAAGCTGTTTCAGTTTCGYCGCTGGTTGTTGCCGATGCTCTATGCGTTTTCACAGTTGCACCACGATTTGTTGGCCGATTCGTTGACACTGCGTAATCCTTTAAATAGAGTGTAAAACACCAAACTATTAAAAGCGCACAGCAAATTAAAATCAATGACACTTTGAATGACTCAATTGTGAACAACTAAATGTTTGAACTATGTAATGTGAAATTCGGCTATTTTTGAAAGTTCAAAAATTCGTTGAGAGTATTTTTACATGTGCTTTGTTCAATTACAAAACAAATTCGTGAGGATTCGATTCTGATGGTCTACTCGTATTGACACGCTCGTGTCAAAATCGGTACTGAATCACGAGATCTTTACCGAAACTAAAATCTCTTGGGATAACAGAATTGAGTAAAAAACAAAAACACATTTTTGAAAAATTCTCTGTTTGAGATAAAATAATTAATGCTCTTAATAAATTTGTTTATATTTCATGAATGTTCACATTTATGCACACCCAAGTAAGCATTTTAGTGAAAATATGATAAATAATATCTAGTTTTCACTACTTTTACTTCAAATTTAATTAAAAAGCTAAGAAAAATTATATTAACTTACATCATTGCTATTTACTTGCCACTGTACACAACCATCTGAAGATGTGCCTGTTGTTCCGCTACCACCACTGACTCCAGAGTTGATGCGATGTCTTTGTGCAGATTTATGTGATCTTTTATGTAGTTGTTGTTGCATTAATGTTTGTTTACTTTTTTGCTACAAGATATAATACCACATAATACATTTTAATATTCAATATAGGTTTCAATAGGCTTAATAGCGCAAGTAACTAGTTTCTAATTTCCAATCCAATAATCATTACATTTGTATACATATATATGTTCAACAAATTGCAGGGGTTGTAATCSTGCTCTAAATTACTTCACCTTACCATTTCTGTTTCCTTTGTGACCTGAACCGTAGTTACATTTCTCACTGGAGCCATAACTTTCTAAAGCTATTTTGTAGAGGGCATGGTATTAGTTAATTCATATTTTAAATAAAAAATATTAATTTCAGTTTGTCCCTTATCTGTAGACACTGACCTGGCTTGAAATTTTTGCTCGTTTGCTTCCTAAATCACTTCTGCGTTCGGGTTCATTTATTAGTAACCATTCACGCTTCCACTATTCCCTATCGAATTATTAATGAATATTACGAAATTTTTCAAATACTATTATAACATTTATTCAACAAATGTATAGTTTCTACAAAATTTTCTGACAGCAAAAAGAGTTCTTTTATTTCATTCGAAATTTTACATCAAAGTTATGTTCTACACTCTCCACTAACAAATTTTAGTTTATGAATGTTACACTCAATTCCGTTTTGTTATTCCCTTCTTCTTTATCATATGTTTATTTGCCATATCTTTTCAAATTGCACAAATGTCAAATACCATAAGCTTAAATTCTGACTACCCAGCAAGCAAAAACAACATTTGAGTACTCTCATAAATATCACCGGCTTGCTCTCAATGAGAGAAATCTATGAGCTGTTTGTATGTATGTAGGTGAATTAGACAATATATAAATGAGAATGAGTGTAAACAACCATTATCCATACATACAAACTTTTAGGTAGACATATAAAAGGTATAGTGGTATGGCAACACTGTAAGGATTTACTGACAAACAACAAAACCCAACATAGGTTGTTTGTTCTATCATGCTAATTGCAATTAAGACTTTATTTAGAATCAACTCTGATGTAAATAAATAATCGTTACTTTTGAAACTTTAAAAGTAGCCAAAGCACGCATACGTTCGATATATGTATATACATATTATAATGATGTGTAGACTTTATATTATATTAAAAGAACGTATTGTTCATATACACCAGCAATCAATTAATATTTTTTTAAATAAAATGATTATATATATTTTTTATGACTGACGTTTCCTGCGTAAAAGATCTTCTTTAAGCGCACGCAAACGATCACGTTCAGCACGCAAATCATCCGCTTGACTACGCAAATCTGCTGTAAAATCGCTAAACATATTCATCATAGCTGAAAGTAGCTCCTCATTTGTCACCTGTGATGGTACATATGAATTATGAGTTTGCTCCTCATCGTTCGCTGTATTTTCGTATTTTTTAACTTCAGTATCGCTCTCATTTAATTTACTAGATGGTTGTATATTAGTATCGCTTTTATTTAATTTAGTAGTTGACTGAATAGTCGTTGTGCTGGTCACACATGGAGACTGCACTTCGTCTTTACTATCGGCAATAAGTAATTTAGTTAGTGTACTCTCCAATGCGGCTGTAGCAGTGTTATTTAGAATACCCCTCGAGGCTATGTGCTCCTCTATCTTTTCAGTGGTATTCATAATGTTCTGAACATGCTTGAAACGGGCTTTCAAAGCCGCAATTTCCGCTAACTTTTTCTGCAAATACTCCGCTGTTTCAGGATCATCGTTATCCTCTTCGTTTTCTGACGCATTCGTTTGTGAAGAACTGAGTGTTTTTTGACTGCTATCTGTATTTAAATTTTCGCTTTGTTCCACGCCATCATTTGGTGAAGCAATGGTAGCGGCTTCTTGCTCCTCAACTTCTGCAGCGGCAAATTCTGTAGAATCGTTCTGTTGAGCGTCTGTATTATTTTCGTGTGCATCAGGTATAGGTGCCGTTCCACCTCGCTGTTCGCCAACACGACTGAATTGCTCTTCATTCAAATGACTCAAAGCAGCGGCTCGTTGTCGTAGTACTTGCATTTCTTGTAGCAACTGTCGGTGTTCCTCCTGCATCTCTTGCAATTGCCTTTGCGAATCGATCAGGCGCTAGAAATATGTTTTGTTTTTTTATTTGAAATTKTTTTTGTAARCAATATTTTTTTAAAAAAGTAATATTTACCTCACCAAGCGCTAAATTTTCCGGTGAAGGCGGTTTGTTGAGTTCGTTTACCATTTTTGTGTTTACCTAAAATAATATTATTTCTATACTAGGAATTTAGTTTAAATAAACATTAGCGTTTATTAGCTTTTTTATGGATTAATTATAATAAAGCATTTGCTTAACAAATTGTAAATACATTTTCTATATGTACATTAGAGCGGTTCAATTTACAGGGAGCCAAAGAAACGGAATCATTCAGAACAACTTTGCTTAAGAGACTATAGGTCTAAAACGGATTTCGAGCCAACGATTTTTAAAGATAAATACTTAAACGTATTCTTATAATATCTAAATTTTAAAATATTTGAGCTGTAGCTACTTTTTAACTCATAAAATCGCCATTTTCAGGTTGGTCACTACGTGTGCCGCTTAATTAAGAAATTCACACTTAAATGTCACAACACCCTGTATAGAAAATGCATAAAAAGATTTCATGAACAACTTATGCTAAAAATAGTTAACATTTATTATGCTGGCATTACACAGAAACTAATTAAATATTTTCAAGTTATTAACGTCACCTTCGAAACTTTTTCAAAAATATATATTTTGGTAAGTAAAATAAATATGATAAACTATTGCCACTATTGCCACACAAAAAGAGAAATTGTCATTTCTTAATATATGCATTAAACAATGACAATGCGAAAGTTGAAAAAATTTTTTGATTTTACCAAAACCTTCAAAACAAAAAACTTTCACACACGATTGTCGCAACAAACAGTCCAATAGCAACTGAATAATACGATATTCAGCGGTTTTTCAGAAAAGCCGAGAGATGCTTTGGTTTTGGTAAATCCAAGAGAAAAGCGAAGAATAGGTGTGAAAATAATTATATGTACATATGCATACATGTATACATATGTATACATATGTATGCACATTTGTGTTTTAGATTTTATAAGATCGGTTGTGCGCGTGAAGAATGTTATTGCAGCTACATATATAAGTATATACATATATATGCTTATGTATAATAACAAAACAGACACCTTCTAGATAGTCCATAGTATTCTTAATAAAGGGTGTTGCCGCTTACACAGCTTCATAAGAATTCTTAAAGTTCACAAAGTTGTAAATTAATACTTAAATATTATGTTACTCATACGACACGTATTCCATGCTTAAATTAAGAGTAACTTGAAATTTTTAATATCAGCAATAGAATAAGTATTTACATATAATCTTGCGGTAGCACCTTTTATAGATACTTCATCTAGTTTCTGATTCTATTTATTGTATTATTTAGTTTACGTCAAGTTTACGGACACCTTCGCATTGCTGCTGTATTTTCAAGAAAAAAATGCAGTCGAAAATTGGACAATAACTGCTGAGAGACGACACTACTTATAAAAGCCTATTCTGATATTGATCGAAAACTGGCGCAGAGTCACGTTCATGGTGGACAACTATCGTTTGACATACTTTAACTGCAATAAAAATGCAACGACTTTTGGTATGATGAAACCAATAAAAGAATAATGTACTGTGAAAATTATTTGGAGAATTAAATTTTATACTTTTGAATATTTTATGCAAATATTTGAAATTATTATTTTTAATGAAAACAAATTATACAAATTTTTTGAATAATTTCAAGAAAAAAAATTTTGAAGTTTATAATTTTAAAATTTACGGGAAATATATTCTGGTGCACGGCACTCTTCGAACTCAGCATCGTAAAGTAGTCCAGGCGTGCACTCAAGCACAACACCCATGCCATTCAAGCAGTAGTAGTATTTCGCTGGATCCGGATGTGCAATAAAATTGGCACCAACAACAGGGCAGTCAATATCAGCGCGTCTGGGTGGCACCTTCGAATACGACAGGATGTTGCGTGTCGACGGAGTTATCTATAAAGGGAATAGACAGTTAATTTAGTATAAAGAATTATTCAAAACAATATTTTTTAAACTGACACTACAATGCACATTCTCCACGAAATCACAGCAATCACAGTCCTTATTGAATTGTAGGCCATTAGAACAAGTCAGTGGGTAAGCGGTGCCATCCATGCAAATGTAATACTTCTCACACGACGCTTGGCTGTTAATGAATGTAATATTTTTCGGATCATTGAATAATGTGCACATATTATCCACACAATCCACATATTGKGGAAAATCGCAACGATCTGTCTCGGCATTGTACTGCAAACCATCGCGGCATTCGCGTATAATTGCTGTGCCAGCATAGCAGAGCACATATTTGGTGCAGGTGCGATCGTAGCAGAAGGATGATAGCGCATTGGTGCAAGTGGGAAGACACTTCGCCACATTCTGATAAGTACAGCTTTGCTCCTTGGCGTCGAAATAAAAGTCATAGTCACATTTACGCTCGATTGGTGCACCACCTATGCATACATAGTATTTGGAACAATCGCCGAGATATGGYAAGAACGCGTTATCACTGACGCCACTGCAAATATTCACTGGATTGGAAGCGGCGCTCAGTAAATCGAAAATGGCGCATGCCACTAAAATACACGGAACATATTTCACTAGAAAAATGAAAATAGTTAATATTTTACATTMAAAAAAAAAAAAAAACCAAGGATTTTTTATTTTATTATTCATTATATTTTATTAGATAATTTCAACTGCCGAAATATTCGCAATTCAACTCACTTGTGCCTTTCTCTATTGATTTGTTTTATTCTTTGCCGTTGTACGGTAGTTTTTGGAATGTTTATTAATTAATTGGTTTTTGGTCATTTTATAGGTTCACGAAATTTTTTCGGGTAGAGACAATCTAAAGTATGACTCATTCTCATTAAAAAWATTGAAATGTCATGTGATTGTAACCCTTATCTGCAGAAATATTATTAAACATACAAAAACATATATTTTGTGACAATATCTTAGTAAATAAAATTGAAAAATTCCCGGAACTAAAAAACAACAAAAAATACCAACCAAATACCAAAAATGCTGTAACTTTGATAATATTCAGTTTATAAGCGATCTTTGCCTTTATTTTGTTTTATCCGGGAATACGGAAAGTACCTTAGAAAATGCAAGGCACCAACTGCTATTTTCGACCTCGCTAACTGCAAATTTTATATGATCTCAGGAACGAAAACATTTTTATTTACAGTGCTATCTTCCTAATTAGTCGGATTGATCCAAAAATCTAATGTCGATGGATGTTTTCGACATATGTCACAAATTCTCTGCTCCACCTAGTAACTGAAGAAATCAGTTCATTTAATCTCGTTTGAGAGACATAATAATAATATACAATTGGGTTTTCAACTCTGAAGACGCTTCGTTAAGGGGTTAGATCTAAGACTAGAGCTCTCAAAAATTACCTAACTTCAGCAATTTATACTGGTAGTGTAGAAAAAGGAATATAATAATATAATTCGGAGTTTCACATAGTATCATAAAGTTATAAGTTATAACGATTCGAAAACATAGCATTGAAAATTGTAATTGTGTAAGCTCATTTTTGTATGTAATCCAACAATAATTTTTTTAAACAAGTGTAAAAATTTATAATTTTATGACTTTATGATGCTTTATTACAGGTTATGAGTACCCCAAATATCTTTTATACAGACTATATTAAACATTTATTTGATCGTTTGAAAAMAATTAGTATTGATATTTTGATACAAAAAGGCGTCTACTGAGCCATTTTTAGGAACCGCCTCTTTTTTAAAAGGGTTTCTAGGGACGATGGCTTCAACAAATGATGACGTATGATGATGTAACATTCCACAGCCCGTACTTCACTGCTGACACGGCGGCGATACAATAGACCCGCAAAAAAATCCTTAAGTTGCAAAAGACAAAGAAACGCACCGGCAGTCCGGTCGCCGCATCAATATGGTCGTCTGGATGCAGTGGAACGCAAACGAGAAAGTTTAGACTTGTCAGAACGCTRTACTCGGGACTATAACAAGATGCCTCTTGAGGTTGCTGAACGAACATTTACACAGCGAAGCCCGTACGCTTCCGATTAAGGTACATAACAAACTTCTCTCCAAGAAGTGTCGCAAATACCATTCCAGCAGCGGTCTGCTTGAAAAGAAACCGCCCTTTTTGACAACATCGAACAGATTTTGAACGCAACYCACTCTGTTAACAACTTCACCGACCCCCTCCCAGTGAATGGCGTATTTGGAGTCAAATTACCACCTATTGCGAACCAAAAGTGTGAGTTAACGCGAGAACCCGAGAGTGACCCTTGCACAACTTCGTTCTTGATACTGTAACAGGTTAAACTCCTACTTATTCGGAATCGATCCCGACATACCAGATATATGTATATATGTATATCCAGCATGTAACGAGTATCCCCATGACCCTAACCTCTTTACATGCCCAGCGAAGCCTTCTAATGTAACTACTCTTCGCTATGGTCCGACTCCGTCGAAACAGCACATTCCTGTGCTTACCGTTAGAGGACTACGATGGCAAACTATATTAACCTTACCACCCAAGCGGGGATTACATAAGCGTTACAAGTAATTAGTAAATTAAGTTTAAGCCAAAACAAATATTTATAACTTTCTTAAGTCTTGAATTTTCCTAATCTAGGTTAAGGGGTTATTGCTTCATRTTATATCAGTATGAAATAGGTTACACCTAACGTTAATATCTTTACGGTTTACTTCAGATCAAAAACGTCCAATTTTAACGATTATTGAATCTGAAACAAACTTCTATATTCAAAAATTTCTTAACCTTGAAAAGTAATGTTAATTTTCGTCGATAATTTTGAGAGAATTGCTTAAGTTGTCCAAAGTGAATGATGTATATTCTTCTCAGAATTCCAAATATTGYATTGCGTAATGCAAAAAAGTGCAAGTCAACTACAGAAACTCTAAAAATATATTCCTAATCCAAATAACTGAATTAAAAGTTGTCTCACTTGAATTAACCTCAACCATTGTATTTAATTGCTTATCGCCTTGTGTTGTTAATTTTTAATAATTGTACGTGGTAACATAGCGAAGAACTAACAAATGCACATATTCATTTAGAGTTTARGAACGAGAGAAGCTTAATCCTTTTTTATGATGCACGCTTTAATATTTTTTTAGGATATCCTCCTTGCGGCGGCAAGCACCCATATCCTTGTCAAAGAACAGATTGGCAGCGCAAGTCATTAGTGCACCCTTACCGTTAACACACATGTAGTATTGATTTAGATTTTGATGTGCAATCTGCTGAATACCCACACTGGGGCAGTTGATATCGACCATACGTGGAGCGATCTGGGCAGCAGTTTGGAAGGAACGTGATCTGGGGATAGCGGCAATCTATAAAGCATAAAATTGCTTATGATAGTGATGTACAAAAATATTTACACATTCATTAGACTTACAGTGCAATTTGCGTTGGCTGGACGATCGCACTGGTTGCTGACAGCGTTAAATTGCAAACCACCGACGCATGTTTGGTTTTGTGGTTGGCCATTCATGCAGACGAAATATCTGTAAAAAATTATACATGGTTGTAAAATTAATAATATTAATTAAAAATTAACAATATTAATTAAAAAATTAGCAAAATTAATTAACAAAGTATTTTTATACTCACTTCGTACACGACGACTGACTTGGAGCGTAAACAATGCTATCGGGACTATCATAAATGGAACAACGGTTTGCAACACAGTCCACATTTTGAGGATAATCGCAAGCGTTTAAGTTTGGATTGTACTGTAAATCGTCAGCGCATTCTTGTAGCACTGGTGTGCCAGAAAAGCAGAGCGCATATTTGTTGCAGGTCCTTTCCAAGCCGACTGAAGACAATTTACTCGGGTCACATGACAAGCAGGATGCGTTTGATGCTTCGCAGGATTGTGTCTTGCCATTAAAGGAGTAATTATAGCGACATTGCTGAGCGATCGCCTCGCCATTAACGCAAATATAATAATTGCTGCAGTTCGTGATATCCGCTACAAAAATGTTGTCGGCCACACCATCGCAAAGATTAATGGACGTTGAACTAGCGGCGGCTATGAAGCCTATGGTAGCCAGCAAACCAATAGCGTAGTGACGATTCACTRAAATATAGTTATTAATTTTTATGAACAATCCTGCAACATTAGGAACTCACTGTTTGTTATAAGAAGTTGTTATAGGTTCCAAGAATTTGTGCTTGCCGCGTTACCAAGTAGCGTTTGCAGCCGTTATTGTCGTCAAGTTGTACTGCGTAGGATGTACTGTTTGCCACCTTTGGTGTGGGTTCTTTTTTATATTCTTGGCTGACAGCCTTTAACGACTGATACTCACAATAACAATACATAACAACTCAAAATGGTAAAGATACTATCAATTTCCGATCTTATCAAAACATGCTTAGGAAGTCTCGAATAGGAGCACATGCACAAACTAACGGTATACGCACGTTTAAAATTGTTAACGAAAATTTGAGTTTTTGTTGGCTTTTACAAAAATTAATATGCGAACACATCCTATACATAATTATGTAAGTAAGTGAGCATATGTACATTTTGCTAAAGCATTGAACTTCAAGAAGTTATCACAGGCTCATGGTTCTAAACAATGAAAGTATGTGCGATAAAAATAATGTATAAGTTACAATACCCAACCCCATAACGTACCAAATGATCACTTTTTACCCGGACTGGTCCATTTGAAATGGTATGAAAGTGGTAAACATTTTTTTCCAAAAACCAAAAAAAAATAAACACGCTTTTATTAGCTAAGGATCTTATTTTGAAGACGATATTAAAGATTTGTATTTAAATATGTGAAAATGTAAAGTTTTTTATGCTGACCGGGTGAATTTTGATCAGATGGTATGAAATGTGAAATAAATTTGAAAAACTGAATAAGAAGCTCAATCAAAAATATATAAGGGCTCTATTAACAACATTATAATAAAAATTTATATATGTATATAAAATTGTATTGCACCAGTAAACTTTAAAAAACCGTCTGAATAATCGAAAAACCTTTAAAGAAAATACTTACATATATCTTAACTTATTGTAATTCTTTTCAGTAAATCAAAATTTTCTTCGTGATAACGCCAAAAAAACACGCTTCTTCGACATTAGTATCTAAAAACACTCGTATTCATACATAAATTACAAGTAATCATTTTAATGTTAACAACTGATAACGCAATTCGATTGCTTCGGGCCACTTCTCTCATCTCTGCTTACAAGTTCAATGTTATTGAATTACTAATTCAAAAAACAAATAACACTTTTATTTTTTTTTTTTTACTTTCCAAAGTTTTAATGAATGAGTACTCAATAATAATGTCAATTACTTATTAATATCGCTTTTACTTTCAACTGCCGACGAAGATAGCAATTGGAATTTTGACTGAATTACATAAAATACGCTTACTAGAGTAGAAGATGATAATTGACTACATACTCGGAATGTTCTGATACTAGTTCCGGCGGAAATGCGAAATGGAAGTATTGAAACAATAACACAATATTCTATTAAATTTATKTCAAACAAAAAATTAACAAAATTAATTAATTGAAATAAAATAAATTTAAGTT